CATGTATTTGGCGATCCAAACCTTCTGAAGCTTTTCGGGGTATCTTACCAGTTGTGATCACTTCCTGCCACCCGCCACTGTAGACCACCCTATTGAACTCCGCCCGAACCAGGTAATTGAGGGGGTTTAGGTCAGGTGACCTGCTTAGATATTCCACCTTCTTCAGGTACTCAACGCCCTTCCATTCCAAGTAGGAGTTTTCCCAACGCCCTTCGATTCCATGTGGTGTCACCCAATCCTGTAGCAGTACAAAGTTTCCAAGAAGGTACGGGCGACGACATGTGGAGAGGATATTCTTCTCGAGTTGCTCGATGTAACCGCCAGCGCTCACCTTCAGTCCGGGTCCACGAAGAAAATATCGGTCTTTCCATTCCAGGTACGTCCGGTCCATACCATCAACCCGCGCCTTGGCGACTGTGGTGAAGATGATGTCCTAGACCGTAGCGACGTTGTCGGAGCTGCTCGATGTTGGAGGTCTTCCAGATCGAGAGTACTGGTCTCCAGGTAGCTATCCATGGGTGACTCCATACTAGAAGTTTCGCAGCTGTTTGGAGGTGACATGAATTCCAAAGGTCTTCTCCAGTCCAAATCCAAACTGAGGGACAGTCGGATCGCCCGCCGAAGGCGGGCGATCCTCCTTATGCGTGTGACCCTCCGGCACATAAAAATTTTTTCTGCAATTCCAGACTATTGCCGTTTCACCTTTGGTATATACCCACCCCCCCCCTCTAGTGGATGGTTGTAAAATTTTCGTGCGAGGGGTGGAATGTCGGTACTCGATTTTTTCGTGAGTCCATTTCAAGTATGCCTCCTTCAATTCAACCTCGACCCACTTCTTATTCCACGGTTTGCCGCTGCTCGGGTGGTTCCGGGTCCGACTCGAAATTTTTACTTGGTCCCTGCCTACCCAGACAAACGCGGTTCGACTGCAGGCTGCCGTGCTCTTCCCAACGCCCAGTTCGGGTGTGCCTCCTTCTGTTTATCTACATATTACTCTTTATATTCTTTTTCTTATATATATATATTATCAACTGATATCACTTCCTATCACCCACCAATAGTGTTCCCGTCACACCCTCTACGTCACTTCTTGGAACCAATATCTCGCTGCTACTGGGACCGGCGCTATGAATTTCGTGTCAAAGAGACAGACGCACACGCACGGACATAGTCGATTATATATGGTAGAATTGTAACCGTTGTCCCAATGTAACGCTGAAATCTATCCTTTTGTCCATTCTTTTCTCGGGGTTAGTACCAAAAATCTCCATAACCCTCACACGAAAATTCAGTAACCTGTAAGAGCAGCCTTCGAAGCATCCTACCGCTCAATGCGTTCTCCACTGTAGGGGTTTTTTCTGGAATGCACTCCCGCATTCGGCAGTCTTGCGCTTCGAATGGTCCTCTCTCGGGTTGTTGATGGAAGATAATCATGGTCATAGTGATAAAGTTAGTTGCTGCAGTTCATGGCAACTGAGTAAACAACCGTCATGCATCTGAACTCCAGTTACTTTCAGCGATAAAGTGTGTTGTCTGAAGTCAGGCTAACTGATAAACAACCGTCATGCATCTGAACTCCAGTTGCTTTAGCGGCCGTACATGATGTCGATAGCGGTAAGAGCATAGGAGTGAGTTGTGTACGAACTACTGAGAGCCTGATACCTGAATCATATCAATCGCATTGTGGCAGTAAGCGGTGTTGCGGATCATGATGACGCTTTCAACCCTTATCAGTTACTGTCACTTAGTGACATTCGTCAGTGGGTTTCCGCCCCTCCCTCCCCTATACCACTTCTTCGCGAGCGCGGGGCATACGTTGTGGGCGGAGCGTGCCCGTAGGGGGTGGAGCCAATTTCAAAAAATTCGCAAAACGCTTTCAGAGCACTCCAGACACTGGGAAAAGGTAGTTTAAGATCAGCGAGGTTATTAGTTGAGAAGCGCGAGGCATACGTTGTGGGCGGAGCGTGCCCCGAGGGGGGTGGGTGGAGCCAAATTTAAAAAATTCGCAAGAATGTTCCAGTGCACTCAGACACGGAAAAAAGTAGTTTTGAAGTCAGCAGGGATGTCAGTTGGCAAGCGCGAGTATACGTCTGTGGGTGGAGCGTGCCCAGGGGGGGCGGGGGCGAGCCAAAGTGTGAAATTTGCAAAACGCTTCAGAGCACCCAGACACAGGAAAAAGTAGTTTGGATACTCAACGAGGGGCTTATAGTTTAAAGCATACTTGTGCCGGAGCGTGCGTTGAGCGAGAGCGGGTCGTGTTAGAAATTCCGGCTTCCAGCAGCACTCCAGGCACTAGCCTTCCTCTGCTGATCAGCGGCCTGCGCGGCGGCGGTGGCTACCGTCGGCCTATGCATTCGTAGGTCAAATGCTGGACAAATACCCGGCTTTCCTCTCATCTGTCCACTTGATCAACGCTCCTTCCCACCATTTCATGCACCGCAATAGTGTAGAAAACAGCCGGCATGGCGCCATTGGTGAAATAATGTTGATCATCCGTTCAGATGAAGGAAAAGCCGGAGACTAGGTAGGTACTGAAATGTGTGAAAAAAGGTAAGCGCGGCGGAGCCGCGCCTGCCCGGCGAAGCCGTGCTGTATCTTAGAAAGAGGCGCGCCGGCGTCAGCCCGCGAAGCCGGCTGGTACCTCATAAGACGATGGGACAACTAACCGCAAAAAAATAGAAAGTAATCCTGAGAAAAGCAGTCAAAACAGCGTAAACCATGGAGGAAATGGCTAAAATAGGCTGGAAACAGCTGATCGCAGCCCAAATCAATCGGATGACAATTACGGCTCTACAAAGTCGACGTCGACGAGGGCGGGAGCGGGAAGGTATGTAGCTCGCCTGAAACAGGAAACTCAAAAAAATTCGCGGAAAACCGGGACTCTGAAAATAGGATACTGTATGCTCAATGGTTTTTCACAACTCCCTGCATTGTGACTTTTTGTGACATATTAGTATCCCTACTCATGTTCTTGCTTTTGACAGCCATAACTTTTTCCACATATGATCTCTTAAGGAACAAAATACTGTGCAGGTATCAAAGAGGCTTGAACTTTCTGAAAGGCAGCTCACTTCTTCCACATACCCTGCTGACTCGAAGGAATTCCGCATCTTACAGTCAGACACTACCCTCTCGTTGTGATTTTCACAGCGAAGGCTTGCCCTGTATACGCTGCCACCTGTAGTGTAACTTGTTTATAACATCGTACTTGTTTATAACAACGTATAACATGTAACATAGTCATCTTCTCAAAGAACGTTCGACCAGAACAAGCATGTGTCCTAGAGCGACTCCGTTTGTCAAGGGCTCGACGAGTAGATCCGCTTGAGATCTTCTCAGTCATGTGAGTGCGAATAACTTGGGAGCCAGCAATCGAGTGAAGGAAAGGCTGAGGACTGAATGGTCTCTTTTGAGTATGTTTCTAGCGTGATAGTGTAACATTTGGACCTTATGGTAAGTATTGAGGCGGAGGTGGTGTAGTGACAAGTGGCGCGCTTACCACTCGCGCGGTCCTGGGTTCGAATCCCAGGTCGACACCCGCCCAGGCCAACCAAGCCTTCTACCCTCCGGGGACGGTAAATTGGTACCAGATTCGTCTGGGAGGATAAAACACTGACTTGTACATCGGCTGGCCACCGCAAGTCATTGTATAGGCCACATCGCATTCAATAAGCCACTACGATTCTGAATGGAAGTAGAATGCGTGCCGCATCCCACAAAGGGATTGATCAACGGCGAAGACTTTATCCTTTAATATTATCTGAAGGCAGCAGCTCAGGGGTTCGGCAGCTTTTCGCAGCCGAGACTTTGTGGACGAATTTGAAGACTGACGACGTCGGTCCTGCTGGTATCCCAAAATTTTTGTAGTCGTCTTGTACTGCGTATGGTAACCCATGAAAGAAGCTGACCAGTAACCTTATCTTCCGGATATTTCTTACGGATATTGAGATTGATATGATAGCAGATACGGGAAACTGCTATTTCAACGGGTCTACACATCGCAACACGCCGATTTTGTAAAAACTGCGGGCAGTTGATAATGCATGACTCGATAACTAGCGAAAGCTGGTCAAAATTTTCGAAATTTGAAAAAAAACTCGAAGCGTTATGTTGAATACCTAACCTCTACTTCTGTTTGGGGAAACGCTGTTGCGTTTGGAGCACTTTGGAATTTTCGTGTGATCTCCATCTAGATGTACTAACTTTTGGCTGGCGGACAGTGTGGGTTACTTTGATACAATGCCATGTCCAAACAGACGAGACAGAGAGGTGACTTGATCTTAATATACATAAAGCCAGTACGTACTGCGACATTAATTTTAAATGTTTGGTTTCATTCTATTTGGTTCTCACAGGTCATTCTTCCAGGGTTAATCAGGTTGTCGCTAATCAACCAGAGTTTGCTGCTGCCTTCAAATGCGCTGTTGGCACTCCGATGAATCCTACTAAACGTTGTGCTGTTTGGTAACTACACCCACGGAAATGCGCTTTATTTTAGCATTTCCTTTAACGAAGTTATTTCTACTGTAAAATTTCTTCATTGCTTCCTTCAACTCTAATTGCCAATCGTGCTACATCAGAAAAAACCTTTTTTCTGACGCCACTGTATCAGTTTCTCTTCACATCAGCCACACGAGACTGAAGTGAATTCTTGCCTCGCCCACTTTCACACGTGACAATGTTTCCACATATCAGCAACAATTCACTGTTGATTGTGTTACTTCGACATCATCGAAATTTTCTCTTTTTCTCTAATAAAAGTACAGAGCAGATGTTCTTAGCGAGTATTCAGTTTCATACCCGCCCGTAAGTGGAGGCATAAGCACCCTTTCACCATGATAAAACTAACTCCTTTCATGATTCACTGGATGAGACTATAAGCGACCAGCGAACATTAAGCCTTGAGCTGCTTGCCGTAATACCTGAGCTACAGAGACAGCAGTACAGACTTGAGAAATCTAGTGAAGACATTTTTTTATCAGCACTTATCTTGTGATTTAATGATTCCCACCTGTCGTCAACGTCCCTGCTCCATAACCTTCGAATGCGGCGCTGCGAAACCAGTACCGCCTCGAAGATTGACGATGGCGTTAATGCTCGTCATCAGTTCCTATTAGC